TTCTCATTTATGGAAAAAATGCACTATTGTGCTCGCCATGTCCGTCTGTCCGTCCGCCTGTCCGTCCGTCCGTGACCTCAAGTTTTCGTCGACGAGAAAATGCGCTCTCTGTCACTCACTGCAGTGAGTACTGAGTTATATTTTTTACTGTCTTTTTTTTTATGTTTGCGAATCGCCGGCCACAGCATCGCAGTCCTGAGAACTTAAGTTTGGTTTCAAGTTTTCACAAAATAAGCAACAATATTTTACACCGTCGCATTGTCCACAGCCTGGCATTTTAATCGAATTAAACGTCCTCACTTGATGCAAATATTCAAAAATTTATCGAACTGAAACTGTAAATAAATCTTTACTATAATAAAAATAAAAACCTTTTTTATCGAATCATGGAATTTACGAATTCCATCCTATATTTTGAGCTGAATGAAAATAAATTTTAAAAAAATATAACTCAATACTCGCTGCAGTGAGTGACAGAGAGTGCATTTTCTCGTCGGCGAAAACGTGGTTACGGACAGACGGACGGACAGGCGGACGGACAGACGGACAGACGGACGGACGGACATGGCGAGCACAAAAGCGCCTTTTTTTCCATACACGAGAAAATGCGCTAAAAACACTAGTATTTTTCCATTTACTTTGCCAATTATGGGAACCTAAATGAAATTTTTTTCTGAGGCATCGTTCGGCACATTATTATTATTCGTTATGCATAATCATACACATGCAATCGTCTTGCTATTTGCATGTCATTACAGCCACCAAGCCAGCAATACTCTACTGCTGCCACGCAGGGTACTTGTTTCTTTTCTTTCACAGTCTTTGCCGTGGAATCCTAGAGACTAAATACAGTTGGGATTAATCCGATGCCTTCCTTGTCATCTCCGTCTTCTTTTATGTCTTCAATCATCACAATTGCCTCTTCCTTCTTCGCAGTTACTCTCCAAAATAATTTTTTCCGATGACGGGATTCAATCATTGTTTTAATTCATAGTTCGATGGGATATCTTCCATCTTGTAGCTTAGTAAATATTACATCTTACTTACGGAGACTAATGGATTTTGTTACGGAACACAGAATATATATTTAAATAAAAAGGTATTGTATTTTATTTATTCTTTCTCAATTCATTGAAAGTTTAATTTGCAAATCAATGAGATTAAAAATATTTAATGCGCTTTGCTAGATAATAAAATATAAAAAATCAGAATGATGCTAGCGTAAGTACTTACGCACTATTTTCTTGTCTATGATTGGTGGATTTTGCTTGAAAGGCCGTCAATGATTGGCTGATGAACTTACGATCTCTTAACTTTTTTTGGAAGTATAGGCCGAGGACACATTCAGAGCCCTGGCTAAAACTGGTCGTAAGTCGTAACTCAATACGTACAGGGATTACCAGCATAGCCCCACATACACTATATACGGGGCTGTCACAGGAGGATATAATGATGCCGAAACTGGAGTAAATTGGGGGATACAAATCTGTTTTTTTTGGGATGGGAGGGATGACAGGATATACAGAGAACAGATCAATTTTAATGAAGATGGGGTGAGGAGTTGTGATCTGTGAACGCAATATCGAAAAAGTAACTAATTATAATGGAGAAAACGCAAACAAATGATCGAAAAAAATAAATGCATCTAATGTTGTCTGTTATTACAACATGAAGGACCTCGACAGGGGATATAATGCATATTGCGGCATGCAGAATTAGAGGTTGATTGGATGGAAAGCTTCGGATCTCAATCCTATAGGTAAGTCAATGAGATAACATCCTTTTATCAAGCCTCAATTTTTACTTTCATTTTTTTGATGTTGGCTGCCATAACACGCATTGATATCGCATAATCATGAATCTATTGTTTAAATTCAACAATTAAATATACATTTTTATTTGGAAATATGCAGTATTATATAGTAAATCTGATCATCATGCATTTGAAAAACGTGATCATATATTTTGATGCCCAAGAAATCCTAATCACTTGAACTGTACCTATATGGTTACTGGTAACAGCTTGAAAGTTAAGAGCTTTTCTCCCTCCTACCGCGACATCGCTACAACACGCCTGTCTCTCACGGCCGCTCTATCAAAAATAGTTACGAGTTCGCACCTCAGTCAGCCAATCACTGAAGGAATTTCTAGCTAAACCCACATTTCAAAGACGAAAAACTGGCCGCTACGTGTACTTAGGCCGCAATGTGTCCTGACGTCAGTTTCTAAAGTACAACCCCTTGGCGATACATTACACGTCCGTAGAAGATATACAATCTTATATATATTGTCAAAGTTGGTATGTTTGAAGCCTCTAAATATATATGAGCTTCAATTTAGCTAAAGCTTCAATTTCAACACAGGCAGCTATTTCCATTTTCCTTGCATAATAAATCAAAAGAATAATCCTGTCCGCGCCTGTCTCGTGCCAGAATTACGAGCCGGCCTCTTCTCTACACGCAGTCCGTTCTCATCAATCACTAAGAAAGCACTCGGCCCATCGCTAACTCATTCTTAGCAAGCACTTAATTAAGTAACCAGCATTTCTTTACCCTTATCGGCGATATCGTTACTTAATCTCATCATCTCGTCAAGATGGCTTCCACCAACTTCATGTCTTATCCTTTATACAAAATCGTCTGCATGCGCTATTATAGTGAACTACGGACCGCGTATAGACTGATGGTAGCTACCATGTGGGACCCGAAGAGACCGCAGCGGACCACACTGCATGGTACTGTGGCTGATGTCGGGGCAAGGTCGATCTACGCTCCAGGTACTTTGTACCCCGTATTAGGAACGTCCAGGCAGCACGGGACAGGAATAAAGGGACCAGCTACCCACGTCACTGAACAGGTTTCGCAGGTTCATGGAGGTATGCAGCGGAAAATAAAATACTTAAAAAAACTTTTTTTAAAAAACCACGTTTTTCTTGTGGACTAAAAAGAAGAAAATAAATTATGGCTCGCCCCAAAAAACGTGTGCCGGGCAGATTTATGATTAAAGCGAAAAGCACACAAAACACGAATTTTGGAAATTTGATGGTGAACGTACAGCCCGACCCACGTTTTTTGGGGCGAGCCACAATTTATTTTCTACTTTTTAGTCCACAAGAAAAACGTGGTTTTTTAAAAAGTTTTTTTTAAGTTATTTATTTTCTCCTTTTTAGTCCGTTTCGTCAGTTATGGAAAGATCGGGTTCCAAAGGCCGGATCCCTTGTGAATCAAGTCACGAAAAGTTCAAGAATCGGCAACAGGCCATGGGCCTATTTCTTCAGCGCCGACACTTCTATTCTATTCTATTCTAAACGCGAAGCTAAGCTAAGAAAACGTGTTAAAATGCGCCGTGATCGTAGAAGTTTATTTATGATGTCATGATCATGAGAATAGAACCATCGCTCGGAGCCAAATAATTTGAAGAAAAATGGTAGCCTAATATCTATATTTTTTATCTAATGCTATAATATTTGATGTCTACTAATTAGTATCAAATAGCACTTGTATGCCGTAAGCGTAGCGGCCTAAATTTACGAAGCGGTCGAAGAACATATACATACATCGTCCAAAGTACACGTAACTTTTTCGTTCAAATTAAAGTACACGTAACTTTTTCGTTCGAATTAAAGTACACGTAACTTTTTCGTTCGAATTAAAGTACACGTAACTTTTTCGTTCGAATTAAAGTACACGTGGCGGTTCAAGTACACGTAGCGTCCTAAGTACACGTAGCGTCCTAAGTACACGTAGCGGCCTAAGTACACGTAGCGGCCTAAGTACACGTAGTGGCCTATATCAGTGCGTTGTGGGTTTAGTTTGTAAGGCGTTCAGTGAACTGGTATTTAATTCTGATGGTTCGACGCCAGGATGAATGGTGCGTCGGTCACCCGGAGTCTTAGCCAATTAAAAAAGTGAGAGATTTGCTGACTGGCAGTTGACGAAGAGTCACAAAAACTGGGAGCACCGCATTCCTTAAGATCCTTTAACTGCTAAATTGAACTTTGATTAAAAATGTAGGTACCTGATGTTCTTAAATAATTTATCTGCAGTCAATGAATACAACTGACAGAAAATGAAATTAGAAAATATTACAATTTCATCAATAATAATTATTCAGAAGCAAAATTGAAATAAGCGTCCGGACAGAGTTTAGTCATCCAATGAAAGACGAAATTTGATTAAGTTGATAATTTATTATTAAGGACAAAATTGTGGCATGTGAATGATCTAGTTGCTGCGATCATTCTCTAAACAGCCAATATTCACTAAAATCTGGTGTGCACTGGCAGTGCTGAACCCGTGACGACGGACCAACTGAAGGTATTTTTCTGAAGGTAAAAAAATCGTCAATTTTGGCAAAAAAACACAGCTGATTTTCAGCTATACAGATGGGCCGTGGCGGGTTGCCACCATATCATCGGGTGAACCTGCACTAGCGCGTCAGCGCTCATGGAGGGAGGTTGTGTGTGTGCGTGTCTGTGGAAAAGGCCCACTGGGTAGCGAGCAGTTCAGAACATCCATCCATGTATTATCTGATAATATATTCAGCACAGTTGGAATTAATTTGTTATTAAACTAAAATTATTGCACTATATTTAGATTAAATGACCTTAGACCTTGAATATTGTATGGCACTCCAGAGTTTGGTGAAAGTAAACTTTTTGCGACATATCCTTGACAAGTCTGCCCGGCATTATCAGGCTATTATGTGTCAAGGGCAACAAATTAACTTGCTCAATAAGCTATTTTAAGACTACCCTTTAGGTATGAAATGGATTAACTTTCGCTGAAAAACTGAGTAGTTTCATACGCTCAGAAAATGCAAATAATCAATTATTAGTGCAGATAAAAAACCTGATTTATCTCTACAAATAATTTTACCGAAGTTTTATATTTATAACAATAACCCCAACGCTCATGTTATAATGATTATAACTAAACTGCCTCAATTAATTCATTTATTTCACGTTTTACACGTATCTTGATGCATAATATTTCGAACTCGGAAATTTTTCTTGCATTTGCAGACCCCACGAAATGTTTACCCCAGTTTTCCAAATAGCGGTATAATAATCTACGAAAGTTTAACATTAATTATTGAATATGTTAGCTGCTTGGTGCTTATTGTACTTAGTGGTGCTGCTGCTGGCAGTGAAGTATGCGTACAGAGCGTACGCAGGCCGCTGCTACTCCACCAACAGACTTGACGGCAAACTTGCCATCGTTACCGGAGCCTCTGCAGGTAACATCAGTAGCTCAAGTAACCGTTACTTCAGTATTCGTCCCTTGGTAATTCCGTATCTATGTATTCGTATCTTTAGCTTAGTTTCGTATTAAAAACTTTCAGATTTGCTTTTCCAAAATTTATACATTTGTAATTCGAACATTATTATTGGTAGCTTTGGTATACGTTGACAGAGACATGTTTAACATGTTGCTATATTACAGGCAGAGGGGCAGAGACATGTTTAACATGTTGCTATTTTACAGGCATAGGGGCAGAGACATGTTTAACATGTTGCTATATTACAGGCATAGGAGCAGAGACATGTTTAACATTTTGCTATATTACAGGCATAGGGGCAGAGACATGTTTAACATGTTGCTATATTACAGGCATAGGAGCAGAGACATGTTTAACATGTTGCTATATTAGGGCAGTTCAACGGGACCAAGTTTGAGGTCCTGAGGTACAGAGGAACCGGAAGAGCTGGAATGGATCACCGCTACCTGGCACCTGACAACTCGGAAATCGAAGAGAAGCGACTCGTTCGCGATCTAGGAGTGTTGATGAACAATCAGGTCAATTTTGGTGATCACATACCGGCAATAACCGCAAAAGGTAGACAACAGATAGGGTGGATCTGGCGGACGTTCAGAACGAGAGAGGCCGAACCGATGATCACACTCTTCAGAGCCCTTGTAATACCTATCCTTGAATACTGCAGCCAGCTCTGGACTCCGTTCACGCTAGGCGCAATACGGCTACTGGAAGGAGTCCAACGAACCTTTACTTCCAGGATCAGAGGGATGGAAAATTTTAACTACTGGGGGAGGTTACAGCGACTGAGTATGTACTCACTGCAGAGGAGACGGGAGAGGTATGTCATTCTGTACACATGGAAAATGATAACCGGAATGGTGCCAAACTTCGAGAGCGAGACCTTCAAGATTCAGACATATCACAACGAGAGAAGGGGGAGACTGTGCAAGATCCCTCCCTTGCGTAACAGATCTACATGTTTAACATGTTGCTATATTACAGGCATAGGAGCAGAGACATGTTTGGACTTCGCCAGGAGAGGGGCGCGCGTCATCATGGCCTGCAGAAATTTAGAAAAAGCCCAACGAGTCGCTGGTGAAAAGTTTTTTTTTTATATTGAAAAATTTCTATCCACACAGTTTCTATATTGAATGAAACTTCCATAAACATATTTTTTTACTATCTTGAAAATTTTCTATATTATAATATACGCATAGTTTATATTGAATGAAACTTAAATAAATATTCGATTACACGTTCATTGTCATTGTCAGGCTGCACGGCCTTAACCGTGTTACATACATGAAAAATGCCATCAAACTTGCGAAAATTGTCCGAAATATGAATTCATTGAAATTTTGGAAACTATTTATTAAAAAATAATTAATATAATTCATTTTTTTGCAGCCAATATAAAGAGAATGTCTGGAAATGAAGCGGTAACTGTGAAGAAACTGGATCTTGCGTCACTGGCTTCCGTTCGTGCGTTCTGCAACGACATCCTTAAGACCGAGACTGCCTTGCACATCTTGGTAAGTCTGTTATTGCCTTTAATGAGACTGCCTTGCACATCTTGGTAAGTCTGTTATTGCCTTTAATGAGACTGCCTTGCACATCTTGGTAAGCCTGTTAT